AGCTCGAACACGGTCATTCTCTGCGCCTCCCGTCTTCTTTAAACCGCCAAGAATCATTCCACCTACGCACACGCTTCTCTGCTTCATACCGTTTCGAACTGTCTCGCTTCTCCTCACCAGTTTTAAAGCGTTTTGCCAGAGATTTCCTCAAGAAATCCCATCCCTGTGGTGGCGCCATCTTCCTGCGTGCTTGTGTGTTTCTAGCGTGGTTCCACTTCGTCTTTAATAGTGAACTTATAGTTCCCGTGACTATAAGTAGAATCGCAGTACGTGCACGAATCGTACAAGTGCAGTACGTGGCTAGAGGCGCGCAGGTTCACGCGCGCGAAACGAAAACGGCGGCTTCCTACAGGACGCGGCCATGATGTAGGTGAAAGCCGGTGTGTAAATGACAAATAAGGCTTGGGCGCCACCCGGGCGGTAAGTCGTCAAGTATTTACCGCCCGACGAGAAAACTTAGCGCCAATGGCGCTCGGGCGCTTTAAAGGTCCACCCCTGGGTATGCATTGCTGGGGGGTGAGTGTCTTGTTCTCCATATAGTTGTCCAATGTTGGGGTTATTAAGTAGCGAACAATTAGTAAGCTTTAACTTACTTTTGGATTCTTCAATAAATTCTGTAAATATGGGAATATTTACCGATGTATTAATTAATTAAGATACTCTTTAGGTGTCCCGGGGCACCATCCCCTTCAACCAGGGAAAAATTTAATCCAAAACTCTTATCAGTCTTTCTTGAAGTTTGTAGAATCCTTGGAGCAGAGACTTCGCTTCGACACATCAAATCTACTGGAGGCAAAAATCTGAATTTCGTAACATTTAATTAACAATTTGTCAAATGAATAAACAGTGGAATAAATGAATAATAACCATGTGATATAATTGAAGATGGATGTGTTTGCGTGTGATGGAGGATGTATGAATGGGGTCCTTTGTTCTCACAAAGGAGTGGTGTGTGTGCGCGTGTGTATGGATTCAAAATGGAGTCTTGAATATAAGATGGCTGACCCCTTTGTCTGGCTAAAGTGTGGGTGGCAACTTGCACTTTAACTTCCAAAGCACTTAGAATCAGAAGTAACTTAACCTTAAACCACTCAAAACATTTCAAAGGATCATGAAGCTTCACCAAAGATTAATCACGAATTAATATCTTTTTTGTTTAACCGCTTGGCCATAGCAGAAACCATTTTAAGATACCAAACAATGATCAATAAGCAGTTTATTCTTTCAAAATGACCCGACGGACGTATTTGGGAACGAAAGAGGAAAACACGAAGCTACTTTTAAGCAATAGCGCAGTTTTATTGCTTATTCTGGACTATAGAGGAAACGGGAGAAGAAAGGAGAGAAAGAGATGAGTTTCTGATCACCAGAAGAGCGAGGCATCCCTCACTCTTTGAGTTGACGGTTCTCCGTGTTTCTCCACAGTTTTCGGCGTCGTCCGTCGGTTTGATGGCTTTCTCCGCTGTTTCCGGCGTTCTCCGTGAGTTTGACGGAGTTGCTGATTTTTCAGCCCGGTTCTGTGTTCTTCCCTTCAGCAGCTAGGGCAGCGAGCGGTTGGACAGACCTGATGGGCTTGTAGCTTAGCTTTCCAGCGGTTCCGTGAGCTCTACTGGAGCACTTAGACTTCCCGCGTGCTCAAGTTAGTCGGAGCGTATGACGAGCGTGTCCTTTACAGCCAGTGAACTGGGCATAAGAACCGAGTTTCTTTGTCTTTGTTGTGATTTATAGCCTGAGTTCGCGGGAAAGCTCCATGGGCTCCCGCACATGCGCAGAACGTGTTTCTGGTATTAGGCGGTGACGTCATCACAATGCTTCCGTGTGCAAAGCATCATGGGAAATGAAGTTTCTTGGCGCTGATGTGATTATTTGCTTTTCCGAGCAATTTAGCACAGTCTTTTGGAGAAAATTACTGCAGCAATTTCTCACGAGGGCATATTCTCAACACCATCGTTGCTTGTTTTTTTCTGTATAAGAAACACAAATAGACTGAAATAAGTACACATATAAAATAAAGCAGCACACACACTACAACACTAAATCAATATTACATTATTTGAATTAATTAACAATATACAGTGATCATTTATTTTGACAAAAATGTGTTGTGAGGCGTATTACAGCGTTAGACAGTAAAACAGCCTTTTAATAGTAAAAAAATGACTTTCTGAATTTCTCCTGTATTTAAAAATTGAAAGTGTACAACTATGCCGCGTTATATTCACCTGGACACAGCTCGTCTGTATATTTTTCTCCGCGGAGTTGTCCTTTTTTGAATGAGGAACATAGTTATGGGTTTGTGCCATTTTTCTCTTAACGAGAACATTCTTATAAACAGCCGTGCTAAATTTGGCAAGCGCATGATTCACAACACGGAGATTCACATCTAGAGTGAAGTGCTCCCATACTCGTGAGGTTTTTGCCCGGGGTTTCTCTTGTTTTGTCGCTTCTATTTTTCTTCTGTATTTCTTCTTGTTCCGCCATCTCTCACAGCAAGATGAGCGTCAGTAATGTGATACGTCATGAAAACCGAGGGCACTTATTGGCTCGTTTCTTCTTCTACGGCTCCACTGGTAGATCAGTGGCTCATTACTGCCACACACTGGCGGCAAATTGAACAGATTGTAACCGATGTCAGATTATGGTAAAAAATAGGCTTTATGCGGTAAAATATGATTATTAAACAACTAATCGATGACTAAAAAAGTTGTTAACTACTTTAATAATCGATTATAATCGATCAAATCGATTAGTTGTTTCAGCTCTAAACTAGACTAACTTTATCACAAAATGTATGGTGTAACTAAGGTGAAGTGAGACGGAGAATGGTGTGATGTGGAATGTTGTTCAGAACCAGCAAATCCGAATAAACGATTAGTTCTGATGGGAGTGAAGGTGATGTCTTCGTGCTAAGCTTTGGTTTGGATCCATCTTTTTGTTTTTACAACTTTACAGCCTCATTGACAATGACATCTTTAAGTAAGGAGACAATTTCAGATGTGTATTGCAGGATGTCTTCAGATTATTTAATATTCTCAATGCTAAAATAATGCTGCACTCATTGTGCCAAAAACAAGTATCTGGTGTGGATTTAAATAAATTAATTTTGCATATCGATATATGTGATAAGCCGTTTAATTTGAAAAAGTCCGTTTCTACTGCTGATTACAAATAGCCCTAACAACTAACTTACTCACCTGGTTGTAGATGCTGAGACTGTAGCTCAGTAAATGTTCTGCTGCTGCCTGATGCCTGGATGAAGACGCTGCAGCGTAAACAAGAAAGAGACGGGCATAAGATGTCATGCTGTGTTTAGGCAGAACGATGGGCAATTCTCACTCGCTGGGCCCGGCGACAGTGGGGGAGTCCCCGCCGCGGCGGCGCCCGCCCGATGTGTCAGACAAAGTAGAAATTTTGCTACACAAACGCCTAGCGTTCTTCTGATATGAAAATATTAAATTAATATTGTATGCGTACTTAAAACTTGAAACAAAGTTCATAAAAAGGCTGCAATCATACTCCAAAAAACAGTAAAAAATCTTACATTCTTCATCATCACAGTGAGACTCATCGGGTGTAGAAGACAGTCCCGCCCCCGTGGTGTCAACAGGTGCCTGTCGTGGCTGCAGATATTGTCTCACTGCATCTGGACACGACGATTCAAAAGTAAAATTAATTGGTTTAAGTTATGAGATACCGTATTGTGTGTGTAAACAGCTAGCGAGGGTCCGTCCGTGGACCTTGCATGGCAGGAGAGGCAGTTAGCTACAATGGTAACGCAAAAAGTTCCTTTGCTAAATTTATAAAGTCTACATACCTCTGCTTTGGGCCCGTTTTTTTCTTCCTCCTTCCTTCGCTTTGGGAATGCTGATCCCAATGGCTTGGGTGTTTTCATCGTAAAAGATATCAAAAGTTTAAATGCGACGACGACGTGATGTCCTTCTATAGTGCTACTCACACACGTGATCTACGGCACCCTTTTAATGGTCAAAAGCGTCGGAGCAGTGGCCCAAGCGGGAGCTCGTCATGTGGCTAGATCTTTTGAATTTAAATATTGATGTTTCAATTTCATGTCATTTCAGAGGGAAATTTTGAGTATGTAGAGGGTGCATTTCATATAACAAACATAAATGTAATAAACTTTTTATTTATTTATTTTTTAAATTTTGCGCCCTGTCCATCAGATGGCGCCCCAGGCGGCTGCTTTTGTCGCCTGTCGGCAAAGCTGGCCCTGTGTAGGAAGATAATAGAGACAGGACAGAACAAAGTGTTAGAAAAGGAAACTTTAGGTAGATTAATCCACCTACATGTTTTTAAGTTTGTAAGGCTATAATTTATAAGCATGTAATATTTATATATTTGATACAATTCAGATCTCCTTCAAACCTCAGTCCCTCACAGGACCGTAAGGCGTTTCGCGGGCCAAGGCAAGAATGAAGCCACTTTAAGCACGACTTTGATTTCGGTTTCGTTTTTTCTCTCTCGGAAGGTCCTGCTGAGAGACAGCAGCTTTCTTTTGTCGTTTTTATTTAATCTGGTGGAATGCCAGTGTTTTTTTGAGACCGCTTACGTGAGCTGCCGTGTTGGGCGTTCATTTTTGTACCTGCTGGTTGCTACAAACAGACAACATTGAAAGTATTCATTGCCACAGAAGTGAGGAACAGAAAAGGACATTTTTCTTTCAATGTTTAGAGCAGCAGGAACTCTGAGAGGCTAAAGGAGCATCAGTGAGAAAGACGTAGAAACACTACTTGCTGTAGTGAAGCAGAGGAACAGTAAAGATGAAAAAGCTACCTTTGTTAAAAGAAATGTTTGTTAGCTTTGAAAATGTGGGCATAACTTTTAGATACTTGTCTAAAACCCCAGCGAACCCCCCCCCATACATGTTCCGGCGTCTGCTTTGCCTTTAGTGAATATTGTTTTGACATCAGTATTTGTGTTCTGGGAAGGCTTGATTTACCATTCAAGCACTGATGGTAATCATGTGTTTTTGTGTCTCACAGCTCTAGTTGACATCACATGCACCCTCCTGCTGCTGAATCCAGATTTCACAACTGCCTGGAATGTCAGGTAAGTTTTCCTTTGAGAAATGGCTTTTCCGTTCCAAACAAGTTAGGTCTTTGTGTCTACGAAGATGACATACAGTGTGGCGAAAAGGGTGTTTAGCAGCCACTGATTGAGCATGTTGTTCTTCAAAAAAATAAAACGTCTGTAACATTCATCATAGCTACTCTTCAATTTTGAGAGATGGAATGTAAACATATGTGTCCAGGAAATAGGATTGTTCTAAAAATTGTAATTGTATAATGGTATAATGGTGCAGAAATAAGTGTTTGGTCAGTTACAAACATTAACTTCACTTTGCAACGTTACCTTGGTTGACAATAACAGAGGTCAAACTTTAGCTGTGGGTCTTCACCAGCTGGGCACACACTGTAGCTGGTACGTTGGCCAGTGCTTGTACGCAGATGTTCCCTAGATCAGATGTTTTGGGGCTGTTGCTGGGAGATGCTGACTTTCAACTTCCTCCACAGATGATCTGTTGGGTCGAGGTGTGGATACTGGAGGGAGTAGCCACTCCTTTGTTGCCACGTTTTATCTTCAATACTCTCACTGATGGAAGGAGGTTTTTGCCCAAACTCCTACAATACATGGCCCCATTCAGTCTTTCCCTAACACGGATCAGTCTTCTTGGGATTTTAATCTATGACGATGAAGTATGCCACTGTTGTCTGAGCTCTCTCCAGGTTACAGTTTCCCCTGTGTAGTTCTGGGCTGTTTCCTCACCATCCTCAAGAACATTTGTACCCCACAACATGAGGTTTTGCATGGTCGAGGGAGCCTGACAGAGATCTTGTAATAATTGCTCCAGATGTTGAGCTGCTGGCCTAATGTAGATGGGTTCATCCCAGTCTTGTACAATTTTGTCCCTGTTGTCCTTAGACAGCGATCTGGTCATGGTGAAGGTTGAAGTCTTTGGTGCTTTCACATCTGGGTCGCACGGACCCACCCTGGTAGCGTATATTATCTGGGTAGCCTGTGTGTTTTTTTCTGCCCAACCAACCTTTTTTTTCAGACCTCCTATCGTGGCAGTCCGCTTTGGGCTGAACTGTCTGATTGGTCAGCTGAAATTTATACCCATCTCAGATTGGCCGTTAGAATGATCCAGCAGGGGCTTCCTTAATGCACGATTCATTATCACTCTGGAGTTAACATCTCCTCTGACTGCTTCTGGGAGTGCTGCTCCAGCCACGGCAGCATGAGGACACACAGCATCCTCACTCCGAGAGAGAGCAGGAAGCGATTTCAGAGTCAGAGTCTCATGGCCGCCGTTGTTTACTAATTAAGGAGCACACCACGGACTTCTCTTTTGCCCCACCCATGTGCTAGGAGATTCCTGCATTCCCGAGAAGGCTGTGAACAAAACCTGCTCATGCCGACCCAGATGTGAGTGCGCCAGGTCTGTATGAATGTATGGACAGGTGACTTTTATACAGATAGTTCAAACAAGTGCTCTTGAACAGCTATTAAGTGGAGGAAACAAGGGAATCTAAAATCACACATCATCACTTCCTGGATTTTTTAAAAAGTCTACCTATGATGAAGAATACAGACCTCTGTCATCTTTAAGTGGAACAACTTCAACAGTCGGTGGCTGCCAAATATTTTTTGCCCCAGTGTAATCAGTTAAGTGAGAAAGTAATTTCCATTGTCGTCAAAATGTCAGTAGGAGCTTTTGAACCCATGGGTAGTGATGCGCCAATGCCTATACACTCCAGGAGATCTCTGAAAATGGTGTCGAAGGTCACTAAGATACGTATCAACTGGGTATGAATTACCTGGTCGAGGACTGAATCTCTTGACACCACGAGACATCCTATAGATGTCAGCCACGGTCACAGGTGAATGTGGTTGGGCTGGCTGGAAAGCTGGCCCGAACATCGCAGCAGCTGGTGGATAATGTTGAGCCGCTGGTGGGTAATGTTGCTGAGCAGCAGGAAGGTATTGTTGAGCTGGTTGGGGAGCTGGAACCATCACCGCAGCAGCAGGTGGGTAATGTGGGGCTGGAGGCCCCAGTGGGTGTGGTGGAGCTGACTGGGGAACCAGTTCAGCCACACCACCAGATGGGGGCAGTGGTGCTGAAGGAGGTGGGTGTGGTTCAGTCAGCTGGAGAGCTGGCAAAACCACACCAGCCGCGACGGCAGGTGGAGTGGCAGGTGGAGGAGCAGGTGGAACCGGGAGGGTTGAAGGGGTCCCCCTTCTTTCTCCAGTGAGCGCAGAAATCTGTGATTTTAAATCAGCAATTTCAATATCCCGCTCACGTATGTCATTCCTGATTTTGAAGAGATCAATCTTCAGAGCATTTTTCTCATCCTCCAAAACAGCAACTTGACTTTCTGCTCTCGATTTCTTATCCAACAACACTGCATTCTCTTTTAGAGCTTCATCCAGCTCCTTTCTGCTAGACTCATCGTCAGAGACGGAGCCGCTGGCTCCACCTCTATGCCTCTGCTCAGAAAGCGTGCGCATCGCACCTTGTGTAGCCACGTGACTCAACTTCCTTATCCCAGAGGTGAGCTAGAAGAACAGCAAACCGTCCCAGGTTCTCCGTGCGGGTTGTTGTTTTGACTCTCACCCTCGCCGGGTAAGGCAGCTGCATTCTCCTGCAGCTTCTTTAATAGGTCACCTGGTGTAAGATGCTCAAAGGACTCGTCGTAGCCACAAGCATTGAGGTTTGCAGAACCTATACATATTAAAACAGAATTGATGATTCCTTTCCCCACAGTGGAAAAACCAAGCTCTTCCTCAGACATTGTTTTGTCATTAATTTAAGTGTAATGTACCAGAAAACACAAAAAGAGTGTAATGTACGAGAGGTGCCACAAGATGGAGCACCTCACCTTAGAGCGCTAGGCAACAGTGCGGGAGGGGTAGTGAGCGTCACTCCGTTATGCACAGTGATGCCGTCCAAAATGGTGGACGGGCCTGGTGGAGACAGTCTTCTCACAATAAAAGTCAAAAATACGCCCAAAACTACTAAAAACATGCGGAGAGCTTGTTTTGTAGAGTATAGCGAGTTATGACGAGGACAAACGCCGCGTCGAACGGTTGACGGTGCCCCTGGATTTGTGTTTGCGGGCGTTGTCAGGCCTTGCTAATATTTAGCTTGCTAATATTTAGCTCACCAAGCTCGCGGGCGTTGTCAGGCCTTGCTAATATTTAGCTTGCTAATATTTAGCTCACCAAGCTCGCCGGCCTTATCAGGCCTTGCTAATATTTAGCTTGCTAATATTTAGCTCACCAAGCTCGCGGGCATTGTCAGGCCTTGCTAATATTTAGCTTGCTAATATTTAGCTCACCAAGCTCGCCGGCCTTATCAGGCCTTGCTAATATTTAGCTTGCTAATATTTAGCTCACCAAGCTCGCAGGCATTGTCAGGCCTTGCTAATGTTTAGCTTGCTAATATTTAGCTCACCAAGCTCGCGGGCATTGTCAGGCCTTGCTAATGTTTAGCTTGCTAATATTTAGCTCACCAAGCTCGCCGGCCTTGTCAGGCCTTGCTAATATTTAGCTTGCTAATATTTAGCTCACCAAGCTCGCGGGTGTTGTCAGGCCTTGCTAATGTTTAGCTTGCTAATATTTAGCTCACCAAGCTAACAGGCTTGGAGGTCTTTGTGAGGTGTGTCTCTTGGCGTAATTCTCACGGGAATCAGCCCTTCGACCACGGTATTCCTCCCACAGGTTCTCGTGCTAATTTGTCAGTATAGCGTGTAATTTGCGGTATATATATCTCGCTACGCTCTTCCGGTATGGGCTTAAGATGAGCTTTCTTCAGCTAATCAAAGCAGCGGGCAATAAAGCACTTATTTCTGCTTCAGGCATCCCTGGTTAATTCCGAGCACAGAATTAATGTCCAGAATTCTCGTCGGAAAATGTTGAGTGATTCACGATTGATCAGATCGGAATCAGAGGTAGCTTAATGCTAAGTGGAGATCAGCATTTCCTGACTCATGTAACACAAGCTTTTCAACGGTGACAAAACCACACAAATAAACGTAGCAGAATCACTCAAAGGACGTGACAAACTCGATCACAAATGTATTTACCTTTAAATCAACACACAGTTAATCTCTTGCAGTTTTAAACTGTAGCTTCGCTATAGACACATAGACTGCAAGGGAGGGTAGCGCCCCTGGTGGGGGACGGGAGTCTCCGGGTTTTGGGAAATAGGTAGGGACAGCGTCCCCAGATGGCGAATAATGAGATTGCCCTCGTTTTCCACCCAGACAGAAAATAATAGTTTTTTAAGGAATAATTAATGGATCAGAACCAACACGAAGTGGACAATTCTAATAAAGTCTGGCTGACTTCTGCCAATATGTAGGGTTTGGTAAATTGAGTGCTTTAAGAGCTCAATACATATTACCTCTACTTATGACCAATAAGCTGTGATACTCTATATAAATATAGAATATCAACCCTGCTTGGTCTTTACGGTGTTTAATCAGAAGATCTAGGGATCTTGCTTTATCAGGGGATTGTACACACTTTGTTTTGATTCAGAAAACAGTCAGGTTTATAAAAGTAAAAATTTATTTTACCAACAATTAAAACATTAACTAACATTTTACTGTGATGGATGGAACTAGATGTGATGTATGAACCTATGTGTGAATGTGATGTTATCAGAACTTCCGTATCTAGGAGAGCTGAGTTCTGGATGCAAAAGAATTTGGTTTACGTTAAGCTATGAAGTTTGATTTTATAGCCAGTGTGAGTCCACCTCACATGGACTCACACTGGCTAAATACAAGGAAAGTAAAAAAAAAATACACTTAGTCCTTATTTTTTAACTAGTTTACCAATAAAGGCTGAGAATTATACTGGCAAGTGTAGCTACTAAAGAATAAAGTTACTGCCACGACTGAGAGGTGAACCTGTGCAAAACAACATGCCAGTCCAACCACTGGACCATGGAGTCTGTTAGAAAGCGATAGTCGCCTAACATACATTTCCTTTGCTGACCTATAAGTGCAGCTATGTAGACAGGATGCATGGTTTATACAGTGGTGTTTTATCCCCAGTGCAGAAGTAATTTGCCAGAATATCCACAGAATACCTATGTTTTAAAACAAAGACAGGGAGGTGAAATGCCTGATGATGCAAGTAGTTTTCATTCAGGCATTTTCAGAATTTTCAAAGTAAAATGCTAAATTTGCAGCTGATACAGGGAAATGCATGAATGCAGTCAACAATAGGTTTGTGGGTATTATTCATTAGGAAATAAAAATATCACATGGTATAAAGCTCAGAAAAGTGGATTCTTCATTACATGGCCCCTTTAAATGAGTGCTACATACAGCTGAGTAATGTGTGTGTATTACAGGAAAGAGTTGCTGCAGTGTGGTGCTCTTAGCCCAGAGAGGGATCTGTACCTTGGAAAGCTGACACTCACCAAGTTCCCCAAGAGCCCAGAGACATGGATACACAGGTAACATTGACTTATAAGTAAAATGAGTAAAAGAGATACACGCATAACATGAATACGCTGCTAACGCTGGTAACATGGGTTCGAAGGTAACATAAGTATCATGGTTAACATGGGAAGTGTGTGTGAGGCAGTGCCTTTCAAGCGTTTGTGTGTGTGTGTGTGTGTGTGTGTGTGTGTGTGTGTGTGTGTGTGTGTGTGTGTGTGTGTGTGTGTGTGTGTGTGTGTGTGTGTGTGTGTGTGTGTGTGTGTGTCTTACGCTGCAAGTTGTGAAGCGCGTTCCATCCGCGAGCGGCATCACCAAGCGGAAAGGCTTCGCAGGACAACAAATGTGAATATTAAAATCGCCAAGGATAATCACTCTATCATATTTCGGAAGAAACTCTGCTAAGATGTCAGAAAATTCATTTAAAAAGTTAGAATTGTACTTTGGTGGGTGGTAACAAAGTAAGAACAGCACTGGGGAGCTAAAATCCAGCTCAAAAAGTGATAATTCAAAGCTACTTGGAGTCACAGAGGCCGAGAGTCGTTTCAGGTGGAGGGTAGAATCAAACAGAGTTAGTAGACCCCCACCACGACCGGAAAGTCTAGGCACGTTGAGCACTGAACATTGCAAAGGACAAAGTTCTGAGAGAGCAGCCGACTCACCAGGCGCGACCCAGGACTCCGTCATGCAGAACAGGTTTAGCTTGTGATCGACGAAATAATCCTTTAAAATGGCTGTTTTATTTCCAATTGAACGTACGTTCTGGAGAGCAACCCTAAGGGGTGGTGCAGGCTCCGAGCAGATTGATTGGAAGGACGGGGCAGCATCGTCCAGCATTGGGTAGCTCAGGTTAGCAGAGTTAACACCACCACCAGGCGGCCAGGTTTTCTTCAGCTCGCCTCTTTTTCGGCTTAATATTTAAAGTTACTTTTTTCGTAACGTACGTGGTGCATTTGACAAGACAGCTGAAAACGGCTCGTGCATGCATCGGTCACTGCCTCCGGTCGGGTTTACTCTCTCTCTCTCTCTCTCTCTCTCTCTCTCTCTCTCTGTGTGTATTAATTCATGAACTTAAATATCAATGTTCTGATTTCATTGAAAAACTTATTCTGTAATAGTTCCTTTACTATTGTGATTAAAAATATTTAATCTAAGTTCTGAGGCTGCTCTGTAAATAGTTTTCAAATAAACACACATAGCAACTTCTGATCAATCCATATCAATTTCAGACTTAAAATAATGTATTGATGTAAACCACACCCACTTCCGAGTTAGGCCACACCCACTCCGAGTACAGATACAGATAATTTAGATGGTTGAACAGATACAGATACAGATAGCTGTGTACTTGCACATCCCTAACTGGTACCAAAATAAAAAAGACAAAGAACTGTTTGTTAAAACATTTTATTTCTTTTATTGGCCATTAGTTATATAAAAAATGTCCAGCCAGCATTTTCAGCTTTATCACTATTGTCTGAGTCTCATTCATTCCAATCTTCTGAAGTTGCCAAACCTTCTGGTCCACAAATCCGATTTTTCTAAGCTTTTTTACTTTAAATGTATCTAACCTGTAAGATACTCAAATAACAAAGAAAGTGAAGGGAGGGTGTTACAACATGGAGATGTTGTGAAATTGAATGAGACTCACTAACATTACAACGATAGGAACTATATTAAATTAAATCCATTAAAATGGACATGGTAATTAAAGAATCTATTAAAATCCCTAACTTGGTAATCATAAAAGGACTTTCCAACAGTGACCTTGATGAAGAAGTAGCAACTTACCTTGAGAAACTGTTCAATCAACCGCCACATCCGGATAGATGATGCTCTGTCAGAGTATGGTAGACTGATGATAGCGGAGTTCAATCACACTAGTTCAATGCATTCCTTAAACCTTCTTTAGCCACTTACTATCCAAAGCTCTGCTCAGCCCGAAGTTGCATTCGAAATTAAGAGTTTAGCTGAGGTGTATGCAGCAAATGCGCAGAATGTTACCAGAGCATACATGAAACAACGAAGAAGAAGAAGAAGAAGATATTATTTCTATAGCGCCTCTCAAGATAAAAATCAGGAGGCGCTTCACAAAAACAAAATGTAACTAGAACTGCAAGCAGTTATCAACGGGTTCCAAGCCCCCAGCGCCAGTCGCCCACCCGCCCCGCCCTCAACTTCGCCAGTCCTCACGCGGTCCCGCCCCAAAAACACGTTCTCCCGCCGGCGTCCCGTCAGCTCACTTCAACCGGCGCAATGAAAGTAACACTCAGGATACGTCATTAAACCTGCAAAGCCTATACACATATCTTTCAGAGGCATGGCTGACTTCTCAATCGTGATTACAATGGAATTCCACTGTTTCCTTATTAAAGAACGTGAAGATTTAATGAGTGAGATTATCAAACAATCATCTATACATCAACAGAATATTACAAATAACATAAAGACTTGATAATGTCTTTAGATTTAATAGATTTTCAACAAAAACAATGAGTTTCATTTTGTGACTTACTGATCAATTGTTTTAAAAAATCATGAAAAATACATAAATCATCATAAAATTACCAAAATATTCTCACATGGCAGTGTTAACATGCGGAATAATATGATGTTGTTTTTAAATCAGTTGACTCAAAGCTTTTTTGAAGAAAAATTAGGAAATATAACTATAAAGGTCACAACAAAAATTTAAATATTCATAAAAAAATAGTGCTACTTTCTATAATTAGGAGAAAAATCTCAGATCGCCATAGGTACGTGTGGAATGTTGTAAATGGCTTATATTTACTGTATACCTAAAAAGTTTTCTAACAAAAATTAATTACGTTGTTGTCCAACTATACAGAAAAACTGGTAAAAAGTTAAAAATTAATTAAAAATCTATGCTTTTGTACAGAAATCTCAAAATATTCCCAGGTTGCCTCTGTGATGTGAGAATTCTTCTTATATTTTTGTTGGGGTCATAAATGTAAAACTGTACTTACAATAAAATAATATTTGCATTAGTGTCTGTAGACAAAAATATTTCCTAAAATTAAACACAAGGGGGAGCTCATATCAAGACGACATTTTTTTTGTTTCATAAACCACCTAAGAGTGAACTTTGTAGCAAATTACAAGAAGGTTGTGAGAACAGAATTTGCGCTACAATTGCTAGCCTAAAAATGTATTTTCATAAATATAAAGCGTAAACCTCAACATGGAGCTGCGGCTTTCGTGACATAAGCTCTAGCCTATCCAGCTAACACAATCTGGAAATCTTAGCCTCTTACATGCAAAGAATGATTTTTAGGAAATTTTTCAAATTTGAAATTTTAAATGATAATAAGCCACGCCCACTTTGATAAATCATTACCATATTGATAATGTAATCTTAAGACTCTATAGTGATGACAACCACTAAGTTTCGTGCAGATCCATTTAGCCAGTTCAGCAGTATAATTTCTTCCCAGTTATAGCGCCCCCTATTGTTTAATCAAGTTGAAAACCAGGACATACACTTGAATTGACCTTAGGTATGACTGTTATGAACAGCTTTGAAAAATGTCAAAATCTTTTGAAGTTACTCTAAAAAAACTTTTTCATTCTCCAAAATTTTTAAAAAAAAATCATATTAAAAAAAATAAGCAAATTATCCAAAATCCCTTCACATCTTTTGGTCAGCCGCTCCTCCTCTCTTGTCAGGGAAAGATGTGATGTGATTGAGTTTGACGGCCGGGAGGAGTTAACGAAAGTACGTTGGACTTACTATGCAAATTTCTACTAATTTGCATAAGTTTAAAACATTTTTTAAAATACTCATCTAAATTTGACTGACTCAATGAACATACTGGATGAGATCATTTGTTTTTTTACGAAAGTAATGGGGAGAAACATGCCAAAAATATTTTTGGGGTACCACAGCACCACCTATTGGACAAAATTCAAAAAATTTTCTGTGATTGTAGATGTCATTATGACTGATATGAATTGTAATTTTCTGTATAGAATATGTATTTTTCAGGAGTAAATGGGCGAAAACGTTTAAAGCCTATTTATAGCCTATAAGCCACGCCCACTTTTTAATCATTTTCAAAATATAGCTTAAGGGTCCGATGATTAACATATGTGCCAAGTTCTGTGGAAATCCATCAAGCCGTTTAGCTGAAACAAACTTTTTGACTCTTTAGCGCCCCCTATTGGTGAATCCACACAAAATCGAGTAGATAGGGCTTACCGCTCATACTTCATAAGGGTGTAGAGTCTCATCAATTTATCTTGAGAAATGGTGAAGATATCATCAATTACCACATGTGCTAGCTAGCACACTGATTTTGACATGGTGTCATTAGCCCAATTTTCAATATTTCTGCCTTTTTCTTCATCACCACAACTTATCTTAGTCCATAGATCATATGTACGAAGTTTGAAGTTGATTCGACGAAAAATGACGAATAGGTGATAGAAAGTAAGTTTTGAGTTTTTTGCGATCTAGCAAAAAATCTAGTTAGGCGGAAATGGGCGTGGCCAATACAAAAAAGATGGAGAATCACCCAAGGATCATGTACATATAAAGTTTATGACTGTAGGACCTACGGTTTGGGAGCTAGTAGCTGAAACGTGTTGACCTCCGCAATAGCGCCACCTAGGTGACGCGGGGTCCAAATTTTCGAATCTGAGTAGCGGTCAGGATTTTGTATCAGACTGCCATGTCAGATTTTTCCTGGCAATTTCTGGCTCCTGCCCCCATACAAACGTAGCGGAGAAGAATAATAAATAATAATGAAAAATCCGTAGAAAAACAATAGGGTTCCCTGCCCTTTGGGCTTGGAACCCTAAAAATATAAAAAAGAATTTAGAAAATGGTTAAAAATATATTTAAAATGAGCAAAAAATAGACAATTGTGATTAAAAAAATGTTAAGAAAGAGAGAGAGTGGTGAAGAAGGTCATACAAAAGCCAGCTTGAACAAGTGAGTCTCCAGCTGCTTTTTGAAGGAGACCACTGAGTCCACTGATCTCAGGCTCAGGGGAGA